CTAGCCATATGTAGAAAGCTGAAACTGGATCCCTTCCTTACACCTTAGACACAAATTAATTCAAAGACTTAATTGTTAGACCTAAAACCATAAAAACCTTAGAAGAAAACCTAGGCAATACCATTCAGGACACAGGCATGGGCAAGGACTTCATGACTAAAACACAAAAAGCAATGGTAACAAAAGACAAAATAGACAAAGAGGATGTAATCAAACTAAACAGCTTCTGCAGAGCAAAAGAAACTACCATCAGAGTGAACACGCAACCTACAGAATGGAAGAAAATGTGTGCAATCTACTCATCTGACAAAGGGCTTATATCCAGAGTCTACAAAGAACTTAAACAACTTTACAAGAAAAACACAACAACCCCATCAAAGAGTGGGCAAAGGATATGACAGACACTGCTCAAAAGAAGACATTTATGCAGCCAACAGACACATGAAAACATGCTCATCATCACTGGTCATCAGAGAAACGCAAATCACAACCACAATGAGATACCATCTCACACCAGTTAGAACAGCGATCATTAAAAAGTCAGGAACCAACATGTCCCTAAGAGGATGTAGAGAAATACGAACACTTTTCCATTGTTGGTGGCAGTGTAAACTAGTTCAACCATTGTGGAAGACAGTGTGACTTTCCCTCAGGGATCTAGAACTAGAAATACCATTTGACTCAACTATCCCATTACTGGGTATACACCCAAAGGATTATAAATCATGCTACTGTAAGGACACATGCACACGTATGTTCATTGTGGCACTATTCACAATGGCAAAGACTTGGAACCAACCCAAATGTCCATCAATGATAGACTGGATTAAGAAAATGTGGCACATAAACACTGTGGAATACTATGCAGCCATAAAAAGGATGAGTTCATGTCCTTTGTAGGGACATGGATGAAGCTGGAAACCATTATTCTGAGCAAACTGTCACAAGGACAGAAAACCAAACACCACATGTTCTCACTCATAGTTGGGAATTGAACAATGAGAACACATGGACACAGGGCGGGGAACATAACACACCAGGACGTGTCATGGGTGGTGGCAGGGGGAGGAATAGCATTAGGAGAAATACCTAATATAAATGACGAGTTAATGGGTGCAGCAAACCAACATGGCACATGTATACCTATGTCAAAACACTGCATGTTGCGCACGTGTTCCCTAGAACTTAAAGTATACTTTTTAAAAAAAAAAAAATGGTATCAAGGCAGAAGAGGTGAGGCAAGAAGGGGAAGGGGTGAAATCGGTGGCATGGAGGAGGAAGTTTACAATGTGAGAGAGGAAAAGGAGAGAGGATAGGAGGGAAGGAGAGAAAAGGGAAAGGGGAGGGGAGGGGAAGAAGAGGGAGAAGAAGCGAGAAATAAAGGGGGAGGAGGAAGCTGGGGAGGGGCGCAGAATGGACTTTGAATCTCACACGTGACATAGCACCCTATGCAACAGACAAACCATGTCTAGAATTTCCTGTCTGCTGAGCAACACCATTGAACCCAGATTCAGCTCTCAAGTTCATGTTCAGTCACACATGTTCCAGTCAGAGCTCTTAACTGAACTTTAAAAGACACAAGTCTAGGCCGGGAGCGGTGGCTCATGCCTGTTATCCCAGCACTTTGGGAGGCCGAGATGGGCGGATCACGAGGTCAGGAGATCGAGACCATCCTGGCTAACACGGTGAAACCCCGTCTCTACTAAGAAATACAAAAAAATAGCCGGGCGAGGTGGCGGGCGCCTGTAGTCCCAGCTACTCGGGAGGCTGAGGCCGGAGAATGGCGTGAACCTGGGAGGCGGAGCTTGCAGTGAGCTGAGATCCGGCCACTGCACTCCAGCCTGGGCTACAGAGCGAGACTCCGTCTCAAAAAAAAAAAAAAAAAAAAAATGAGGTCTAAGGAAACAATGTCTAGATTTACAAATCAGTGGTAAATTTGAGAACAACAATCTTGGAAGAGTGGTGGGAATGAAAATTACTGGTGTCTGCTCAAGAGTGAATGGACAGGAAATCTGAATCCACGAGTATAAACCATTCTTTCAAGGCCAACATACCTAGGGGCATGACTGTAGACGATCTAATTTTCTTCTTGTTTAGCTGTATTTTTCAATTCTTATATAACTATATACTATATTTTTACCCTTTAAAAGTTTTTAAAATTATATCTATATGACATTTTTGAAATGCCAGATGAAGGTATTAAATAACAAATTCATTAACTCATAAAACCAAAAAGCCTCTTGAACATTACTAGATTATATAAGCTGATTATCATTTTGCTCCTGCTTACACATAAAGACCAAGGAAGACTAAAAGTTTCAGAAGAAGTATTTCTTGCTTAATAAAAAGCATCTAATTCTAGAATATTTTATACTCATCAAATATACAAAATAATAGTCAAAATATGGAATTCTATAATAAGAATAAAAGGGGACGAGTGCAGAAAATGATCTTATTTTGTAAACCAAATTTGTTGAAATTATATGAAGCCACTGTTGAAAAATATGGTGTGTTTCCTACTGAAATACATTATCTTTTAACAGGAAGGATAATGGCAAGCATGTAGGGTACCTTTAAAAAGAGGATTCACTGCATAACAGCACCTTGGTTTTAGCCCAAGGATCAGCAAATTGGTGCTTGTAAGCCAAATCCAGCCCACTGCCTGTTTTCATAAGGAAATTTCCTTGAAACACAGCCACACTTACTCACTTTACAATTCACAAAGCTTAAAATATTTACTAACTGGCTCTTTACAAAAAGAGCTGTCCAACTCTTGGTTCAGTAGATCTGAGATCCTCTGATGTATTTTAGTAAGTTTTACCCAATATATTGAAATGCTTATACGGAATATGAATCCCCATGTGCAATCTCTTGGCAATATTCAAGTTAATTTGAGGATCTGGTATTTCAGCACTCACACATTGAGAACAAAAAACAAAAAAAATAATAACTAGCAATTCTGTTGCACACAAGGTACAGTGTCAATGTAGCATGTAGCTAGCTTCTTCTTATAACTCAGCAGATATTACAAGAATTCCAACAAAACTGGCTTAAGATGTGTCATCAAACTAAAGTCTTTAAATATACTTTAATTTTGAAATAATCAGTACAGTCCAGGTCTAACAACTTCATTTATCAAAATGATTGCATACTACATTATTTTCTGGGAATGACAACTATACCATTTCTTTATTGCTAAGCATTTAGGCTATCTCCAACTTTTTGATATTACAATGCTATAATAAATATCCTTATACATAAGTATATATGTAACATATATAAATATCCTTAACATATCATATATACTTAATATTATATATATTTAACATATTAACCTATTGTATATTATATACTACATGTAATAAATGTCCTTAATAAATATGTGTATGTGTTTACACAAGTCATATTTTCCTGTAGGATCTCGTCCCAAAAGTGAAGTTGTTAGGTTAAAGAAGTGACATATTTGAAATTTTGATACACGCTACTAAATTACCCTGGAAAAAGGATTCATCAATTTCATTTAACAGCAGTGTATGAAAATGCCATCTTCACATTTGCCAATATTTCCTATTTTTTAAGTAAAATATCAATATGATTGGAAAATATGGTATTTCATTGTTCATTTACATTTTTCTGATAACCAAGGAAGGCTTAATATCCTAGTAAAAGTATAAAATTTGTTCATCATGAATATTAGCCCAAATTTGGATTCATTTCATAGCACATAATTGTCTCCTGTTTTTGTTGTTGTTGTTGTTGTTGTTGTTTTGAGATGGAGTTTCACTCTTTTGCCTAGGCTGGAGTGCAATGGCGTGATCACAGCTCACCGCAACCTCCACCTCCTGGGTTAAAGCAATTCCCCTGCCTCAGGCTCCTAAGTAGCTGGGATTACAGGCATGCACCACTACACTTGGCTAATTTTGTATTTTTAGTAGAGGTGGGGTTTCATCATGTTGGTCAGGCTGGTCTCGAACTCCTGACCTCAGATGATTCACCTGCCTTGGCCTCCCAAAGTGCTGGGATGACAGGTGTGAGCCATCGCGCCTGGCCAAATGTCTCCTGTTAAATGTTGCGATAGGCTTACCTGTCATGCCCTTTCTTCTTCTTCCTAGGAAACTGCTGATTTAGTCCATCATCATTATTGCCAGCAGCAGCACCATGAGCTGGGTTTCCTGATAATTCTGTGCTATTACTTCTGTGCTTCTCCACTTCTTCTTCAACCTTGAGTGAGAGTTTGATGTTAAGGACAAGTGTTACTGCTTTATTCAATGCAAATAACTTTTTTCTGTTTTCATTGATTTCATCACTTGACTCAGTTTAATTATCATAATTTTAGTCATTAAAATATTTGGTGTTTAATTTGATCATATCTGGAACTATCATCATATAATTGTAATTGTTATAATTTTATCATCAACATTTTTGTAAAGTTGGCTTCATTTCTGTTTCAATGAATGAGACAGAATTTTCCAAAATTTAAACAAAGGCCCTTCTTAATTTTGTGCTTTTATTCCCAACCACCCTGCACTATGTATTATGAATTTTTACCTCATTTGACTGGCACAAATACAGAAATAAGAAGACAAAGACACAAAGCATGTCTTCTTCTGTCTTTGCCACTTGGCCTTCACATTAAACAGCCAGATTGAGAGGATACAACACTGTGGGGCTTTAGGAACAGAAAGGAAGCTTCCCCTTTTCTGCACTAAGCTATTCTTTTCTTCCACTAACTTTTGTCTTTTTTTTTTCATTTGAATCCTGGGATATCAAAAAGGTAAAGGAGCTTACTGAAATACAAGTCCACTGCAACACAAAAAGCAGAGTGAAACTGCTGAGTTGGTGTGGAATTCTGAAAATGAGATGCTTCCCAAATTTCACATTCAATAGCCATAAAAATCTATAGCTGGAGGATATACAATATAAGAATCTACTTTAGCCCACTGTCTATTGATGACTGGGCTAAACCCAAAAAAGAGTAAATGATAGATCCAAGCACCTAAAGTGCCATTACCTAGCATTTTGTGGCACCAAAAGAAACGATACAATTCCATAATGCTGAATCAGACAAATTCTGCAAATTAATCAGATAGGTTAAAAGTGTGACTTAGGCAAAATAATTCAATGCCTTGGCAAAGGGTGGGAGGACTGCCCAAATGAATGTAGAAGACTCAGCTGTTCACGTTAGCATCATATATTAAGTTTTCGGTGAGCATTTATGCAATTTATATGGAAAAATATATATGGCAAAACTTAATGTACTTTAATAAGCAACAAAACATAAAGGTGTGATTCAAAAGAAACAGTACAGAGTGGTTATATTAACAAATACGTTGGGCTTCTCTTCTAAGACAGCCAGACAGGAAGAGCTATGGTTTGCAGCACCAAGAGTGATCAACGCAGAAGATGGGTGATTTCTGCATTTCCAACTGAGGTAACTGGTTCACCTCATTGGGACTGGCTGGACAAGTTGGTGCAGACTACAGAAGGCAAGCCAAAGTAGGGCGGGCCATTGCCTCACCCGGAAAGCACAAGGGGTCGGGGGATTTCCCTTTCCTAGCCAAGGGAAGCCATGACAGACAGTACATGGAAAAACAGGTCACTCCTGCCCAAATACTGTGCTTTTTCAATGGTCTTAGCAAACAGCACACCAGGAGATTATATCCCGCACCTGGCATGGTGGGTCCCACACCCATGGAGGCTTGCTCACTGCTAGCACAGGAGTCTGAGATCGACCTGCCAGGCTACAGCCTGGCAGGGAAAGGGGTATCTGCCATTGCTGAGGCTTGGGTAGGTAAACAAAATAGCCGGAGAAGCTCAAACTGGGTGAAGCCCATCACAGCTCACCAAGGCCTACTGCCTCTACACTCTATCTCTGGGGGCAGGGCATAGTTGAACAAAAGGCAGCAGAAAATTCTGCAGACTTAAACCTCCCTGTCTGACAGCTCTGAACACAGCAGTGGTTCTCTGAGCATAGTGTTTGAGCTCAGAAAATGGACAGAATGCCTCCTCCATAGGTCCCTGACTCCTGGATAGCCTATCTGGAAGACACCTCCCAGTAGGGGCTGACTGACACCTCATACAGGCAGGTGCCCCTCTGGGACGAAGTTTCCAGAGGAAGTATCAGGCAGCAATATTTGCTGTTCTGCAATATTTGCTGTTCTGCAGCATCCGTTGGTGATACCCAGGCAAACAGCATCTGAAGTGGACCTCCAGTAAACTCCATCAGACCTGCAGCTCACGGAACTGACTGTTAGAAGGAAAACTGACAAACAGATAGGAATAGCATCAACATCAGCCGAAAGGACATCCACACCAAAACCCCATCTGTAGGTCACCAACATCATAGACCAAAGGTAGATAAAACCACAAAGATGGGGAGAAACCAGAGTAGAAAACCTGAAAATTCTAAAAACCAGACTACCTCTTCTCTGAAGGATTGCAGCTCCTCACCAGCAAAGGAACAAAGCTGGACGGAGAACGACTGACCAGCTGACAAAAGTAGCCTTCAGAAGGTCGGTAATAACAAACTTCTCCGAGCTAAAGGATGATGTTCAAACCCATCAAGAGGAAGTTAAAAACCTTGAAAAAAGATTAGATAAATGGCTAACTAGAATAAACAGTATAGAGAAGACCTTAAATGACCTGATGGAGCTGAAAACCATGGCATGAGAACTACGTGAGGCATGCACAAGTGATTCCATCAAGTGGAAGAAAGGGTATCAGTGATTGAAGATCAGTTTAATGAAATAAAGTGAGAAGAGAAGTTTAGAGAAAAAAGAGTAAGAAGAAATGAACAAAGCTCCCAAGAAATATGGGACTATGTGAAAAGACCAAATGTACGTTTGATTGGTGTACCTGAAACTGACGGGGAGAATGGAACCAAGTTGGAAAACACTCCTCAGGATATTATCCAGGAGAACTTCCCCAACCTAGCAAGGCAGGCCAACATTTAAATTCAGGAAACACAGAGACCACCACAAAGGTACTCCTCAAGAAAAGCAACCCCAAGACACATAATTCTCAGATTCACGAAGGTTGAAATGAAGGAAAAAGTGTTAAGGGCAGTCAGAGAGAGAGAGATTGGGTTACCCACAAAGGGAAGCCCATCAGACTAACTGTGGGTCCAGAAGAGAGTGGGGGCTAATATTTAACATTCTTAAAGAATTTTCGACCCAGAATTTCATATCCAGCCAAACTAAGCTTCATAAGTGAAGAAGAAATAAAATCCTTTAGACAAGCAAATGCTGAGAGATTTTGTCATCACCAGGCCTGCCTTGCCTTACAAGAGATCCTGAAGGAAGCACTAAACATGCAAAGGAACAACCTGTACCAGCTAGTACAAAAACATGCCAAATTGTAAAGACCATCGATGCTAGGAAGAAACTGCATCAACTAACGGGCAAAATAACCAGCTAACATCATAATGACAGGATCAAATTCACATGTAACAATATTATCCTTAAATGTAACTGGGCTAAATGCCCCAATTAAAAGACACAGACTAGCAAATTGGATAAAGAGTCAAGACCCATCAGTGTGCTGTATTCAGGAGACTCATCTCACATGCAGAGACACACATAGGCTCAAAATAAATGGATGGAGGAAGATCTGCCAAGCAAACGCAAAGGCAAAAAGAGCAGGGGTTTCAATCCTAGTCTCTGATAAACCAGACTTTAAACTAAAAAAGATCAAAATGGACAAAAAAAGGCCATTATATAATGGTAAAGGGATCAATTCAACAAGAAACGCTAACTACCCTACATATATATGCACCCAATATAGGAGCACCCAGATTCATAAAGCAAGTTCTTAGAGACCTATGAACAGACTTAGACTCCCACACAATAATAATGTGAGACTTTAACACCCCACTGTCAATATTAGACAGATCAATGAGACAGAAGGTTAACAAGGATATCCATGACATTGGCTAATTTTGTATTTTATAGAAAAGGGGTCTCATCCATGTTGGCAGGTTAGTTTAATCGCTGACCTCAGAGTGATCCACCTCCTCAGACCATCCCCGAAAGTGCTGAGATAACAGGCATGAGGCCACCATGCTCCCGGCCTAACCTTGTGTCTTTTAAAATCAGTAAGAGTTAACTGACTGAACATGTGTGAACCTGAACCATGAACTTGAAGAGCTGAATCTGGTTCGAATGGTTGTTGCTCAGAACAGACAGGAAATTCTAGACATGGGTTTGTCCTGTTGGCATAGGGTGCTCATGTCAACTGTGAATTCAAAGTCCTTCGTGCGCCCTCCCCCAGCTCCCTCCCCCTTTATTCTCGCTTCTTCTCCCTTTTCCCATCAACCCTCCCCTTTCCCTTTCTCTTTCCTTCCCTCCCGTATCTCTCTCCTTCCTCTTCACCATTGTAAACTCAAAATCCCCTCCAATGCCGCACGATTTCACCCGTGTCCCTTCTTGCGCTTCACCTCTTCTGCCTATGATACCATCTTTTTTTTTTTTAAAAAGTTACTTTAAGTTTCTAGGAACACGTGCGCAACATGCAGGTGTTTTGACATAGGTTAACATGTGCCATGGGTTTGCTGCACCCATTAACTCGTCATTTATATTGGTATTTCTCCTATGCTATTCTCCCCGTGCCACACAGACAGTCTGGTGTGTTATTTCCCCTGCCCCGTGTCATGTGTCTCATGTCAATCCCAACTAATGAGTGTAGGAACATGTCGGTGTTTAGGTTTTCTGTCTGTGACAGTTTTTGCTTTCAGAATCTAATGGTTTTCCAACTTCATCCTGTCCCTACAGAAGGACATGAAACTCATTCGCTTTTTTATGGCTGCATTAGTATCCACAGGTTTATGCTGCCAATTTCTTAATCAGTCTATCATTGATGGACATTTGGATTTGGTTCCAAGTCTTGCCATTGTGGAATAGTGACCACAATGAACATACGTTGTGCATGTAGTCCTGTACAGTAGCATGATTATAATTCCATTGGGTGATAATACCCAGTATTGGATAGTTGAGTCAAAGG